TCTAAAAGTCTGAAATTCTAAAATTCTAAAATTCTAAAATTCTAAAATTCTAAAATTCTGAAATTCTAAAATTCTAAAATTCTAAAATTCTAAAATTCTAAAATTCTAAAATTCTAAAATTCTAAAATTCTAAAATTCTAAATTCTAAAATTCTGAAATTCTAAAATTCTAAAATTCTAAAATTCTAAAATTCTAAAATTCTAAAATTCTAAAATTCTAAAATTCTAAAATTCTAAAATTCTGAAATTCTAAAATTCTAAAATTCTAAAATTCTAAATTCTAAAATTCTGAAATTCTAAAATTCTGAAATTCAAAAATTCCAAAATTCTAAAATTCTAAAATTCTAAAATTCTAAAATTCTAAAATTCTAAATTCTAAAATTCTGAAATTCTAAAATTCTAAAATTCTAAAATTCTAAAATTCTAAAATTCTAAAATTCTAAAATTCTAAAATTCTAAAATTCTAAAATTCTAAATTCTAAAATTCTGAAATTCTAAAATTCTAAAATTCTAAATTCTAAAATTCTGAAATTCTAAAATTCTAAAATTCTAAAATTCTAAAATTCTAAAATTCTAAAATTCTAAAATTCTGAAATTCTAAATTCTAAAATTCTGAAATTCTAAAATTCTAAAATTCTAAAATTCTAAAATTCTAAAATTCTAAATTCTAAAATTCTAAAATTCTAAAATTCTAAAATTCTGAAATTCAAAAATTCCAAAATTCTAAAATTCTAAAATTCTAAAATTCTAAAATTCTAAAATTCTAAATTCTAAAATTCTGAAATTCTAAAATTCTAAAATTCTAAAATTCTAAAATTCTAAAATTCTGAAATTCTAAAATTCTAAAATTCTAAAATTCTAAAATTCTAAAATTCTAAAATTCTAAAATTCTAAAATTCTAAAATTCTAAAATTCTAAAATTCTAAAATTCTAAATTCTAAAATTCTGAAACTCTAAAATTCTAAAATTCTAAAATTCTGAAATTCTAAAATTCTAAATTCTAAAATTCTGAAATTCTAAAATTCTAAAATTCTAAATTCTAAAATTCTGAAATTCTAAAATTCTAAAATTCTAAAATTCTAAAATTCTAAAATTCTAAAATTCTAAAATTCTAAAATTCTAAAATTCTAAAATTCTAAAATTCGAAAATTCTAAATTCTAAAATTCTGAAATTCTAAAATTCTAAAATTCTAAAATTCTAAAATTCTAAAATTCTAAAATTCTAAAATTCTAAAATTCTAAAATTCTAAATTTTTGAAAAATAGAAAAATGATTATTTTTGAAATATTTGAAAAATAAAAAAAATGTTGGGCATAATTTTGAAAATTTGAAAATTCTGTAAATCTCGAAAGCTACAGTGACCCTCAACCTCAATTATTAGTCCTTTTTACAAACCAACTTCCCGGCCTTCTTCAAATCCGACTTTTTCAACATCTTGATATCCTTCGGGTCCTTAAGCCCAAGTTTCTTCAACATCGCTTCCAATTCCTCAGTAGTCCTCCAGTTGGGAAGCTCCGCCCACTTCTTGTGCTGCCTCAAATTGTACACAATTCTCAAAATCTCCTCCTTCGATTTCCCATCCCAAATCAAATCCACCATATCTTGAACTGCCAGGAATTTCGTGGCTTCTGGATCCTCTTTTGTGATCTTCTCGAATAGTTTTGTGCATTCTTGAGCCCTGCTCATTGGCTCGGCTGGCGCGTCGGGCCCGTTTAACGCCGCGGCCAAATCAACGATGTTTTCGATACTGATGTGGGCGTAGATTTTGGAATCTTGAGATTCTGAAAAAAAGTATTTTCACTGTAAAGAATATAAAAATAGAACGCATTTCCTACAAAATGAGCCAGAAACCATCTTTCTAGCTCAAATTTGAGCCGAGATACGACCATTTCCAAGGGGAGGGTTAGAGACGCAGTGTGTCTCGTTTCTCTGCGTCTCTCACCCCAAAAACTCTAAATGGCCATACCTCGGCTCTAAATGATCGTAGAAATTTGATTTTTAATAGGTTTTAGTGGAAATTTTGAGTATTTTCACCTATATAAAATTTCTTATGAACATCATGGCCTAAATTTTCAAGTGGTGGCCTAGAAAACTCAAAACCTTAGTTTTCTTCCATTCTCATTAGTTTCCAACCTAAAATAGTATGAAATTTGAATTCGTCGCTAAAGAATGGTATCGAAAACTGTAAAACATAGCCCATGGCATAACTTTTCAACTGGTGGCCTAGAAAATCCAAAAACTCGGCCACCAAAATTTTTTTCTAATTTTTCAGGATTTCCGTGGTAGTTTTTGATAGGAAATCCGAATTTACCGTCTAAAACTAGCCTAGAAGACTATTTTCCCCAGTCGACGTAAGTCATGGCCTGACTTTCCAACTGGTGGCCTAGAAAATCCGAAAACTCGGCCATCACTTTTTTTTTGATTGTGGATAGTTTCTGGAGTAGTTTCTGATGGGAAATTCGGATTCCTCACCAAAACTAGCATAAAAAACCGTTTTCCCGATTCGAAATAGCTCATGGCCTAACTTTTCAACTGGTGGCCTAGAATTTTTAAAAACTCGGTCACCTAGGAATTTTCCCATTTTTCATGGTTCCCGGGATAGTTTTTGATGGGGAATTCGATTTGTTGAGTTTTATCTGATAAAAAAAATCAATTTTTGAGTGAAAACAGCATTTTACATTTGGTGGCCTAGAAAACTCAAGAGCTCGGCCACCTGGGAATTTTTTCGATGCTTTGCGTTTTTTTTTTGTGTCTAGGGTAACTTTTAGCGTAGATTTTGAATATCTACCTTTCAACTGCTGAATCTCCTTTCTCAACTCTTCAATCTTCTCATCCTTCTCCTCACGCAACTCTCTCAACCTCTCTTCCTTCAAATTCATCCACTCCTTCAATTCCAGATTCTTCCTCTTCTCATGTTCCAATTCCTCCTTCAGCTTCTTAATTTCATTCTGCATTTTCGTCTCGTCCTCTTCCATATCCTCCACTTTATCCTGAAGCGTTTCTACAGTATCCTCAAGCGTTCGATTCTTGGCAATCATCTCTTGGAAGTAGTCGGAGACATCGGTTCCGAATCGACCGACAAGATGGTTCTTCCCATCCATCATCATGTGGAATTGGTGCTCTTTGAGTCTGGAAAACAATATTTAGAAAGAGCTGAATTTACCCTGCAAAATGAGCTAAAAATCAAGTTTCTACTGTCATTCTGAGTCGAGTTACAGTCATTTTTAGGTGGAGGATGAGAGACGCAGTGTGTCTCGTTTCTCTGCGTCTCTCTTAAACTTCAAATCGCTATAATTTGCCTTAAAGTTGAGCTAGAAACTTGATTTTCGAAATGTTTTTCAACAACTTTATTTCATTTTTCAAATTGCCTTTCTATGTGTTTAACTTTGGAATTTTCAAACTTCATGGCTCCTTGAACAAAATTATTCAGAAAATCCTTAACTTTTTGCCTAGAGCCTGATCAATTCATATGATACTAATATCAGATTTAATCAGATATTTTGAAACAGCGAAAATTTCTAGTAATTACGGCAAAAAAAAGTAAGTTTCTATGATCATTATGAGTTGCGATACAGGCATTTTATAGTGAAGGGGTTAGAGACGCAGTGTGTCTCGTTTCTCTGCTTCTCTCACACCCAAAACTTCAAATGACTGTAACTCGACTCTAAATTGAGCTAAAAACTTGATTTTTGATGGGTTTTTGATGGAAATTTTCTGTATTTTTCACATAAATTAATTGTTTTGAGAAAAATTTGAGAGAACGGTAGTTCCAGACCTGTAGTGGAAGATTTGAAATTGAGAAAATTTGAAATTTGAAACAAAAAAAACATTTTTAGTAATTTCCTCCAAAAATCAAGTTTCTACAATCATTTTGAGCCAAGATACAGTCATTTGAAGTGTCTCGTTTCTCTGCGTCTCTAACCGCAAAACTTCCAATTCTCATAACTTGGCTCAAAGTCATCGTAGAAACTTGATTTTTTAAAGGATTTTGAATGAAAGTTTGTGTATTTTTCTTCTTTTTAAGAGAACTAGTTCAAATCATGGTCTAACTAAACATCCATACATCTACAATTTTGGAATCTTTGAATTTCGAGGATCTATCTCAATTCACGGGTCCTTTTAGTGAATTTATTTGAAAATCCTTAATTTTTTGCCTAGGGACTGGTGAATTCAGATAATAACAATACCAATTTTAATAAGAAATTTTGAAAAAGTAAAAATTTCTAAAAGAAAGTTTTTGAAGTTAGCGACGCAGAGAAACGAGACACACTGCGTCTCTAGCTCCCAAAACTTCAAATGACCATAACTCGGGCCAAAATTGTCGTAGAAAGCTGATTCTTAGCTCATTTTGATGAGGATTACTCAGGTTTTTGGAAAAATTACAAATCTTAAAAAATGAGCGCTGTCTGCGTCTCTAGTCTTCAACATTTCAAATGGCTATAACTCGGCTCAAAATGGTCGTAGAAACTTGATTTTTAGAGGGTTCTGATAAAATCATTGCGAGCACAAATACCGTAGTAGTTCAATATATTACAAATTTCAATTTGCAATTTTGAAACAGTAAAAACTTCAGAAAAATTTCTGACAAAAATCAAGTTTCGGTCATTTTGAGTCAAGATACGGCCATTTGAAGTTTTAGGCACACTAATTTTTCACGTACGGAACGGTGAACCCATAGAATACCAATTTTAACTTGAAAATTTGGAACAGGAAAAACTTATAGTAACTTTCAAGAAAAATTGAAACTGTGTTATGATAAAAAAGCTAAACATTCTCTACTTTTTCCAATGGCCATAACTAGGCTCAAAATTGAGCTAGAAACTTGATTGTTGGCTAGTTCTGTAACTAAATCCTTACCTAAAAATCTCCTCCTGACTCTTGTTCTCCTTCTCCAAATGTCGATTCTCCCTCTCCAACGCCGAGATCTTCTCCTTTTTCACTGCCAACTCTCGTCTCAGACTTTGAACTCTCCAATCCACAGACTTTTGCTCATTTTTCTGCTCCAACGATTTTTCAATCACTCCAATCAGATTATCGAAATTCTTATTGATCATTCGATTCTCTTTTACAGTGCTCAATTGAAAGTTCAGAATTTGCATATCCTTGCGTTCGAGCTCCTCGATGATATGGTGCATTTTTTGGCTGGAAATTTTTGGAGGTTGTGTAAAATTTTATGCTGAGCAATTTTGTAGTTGACAACTTTCTTCTACCTATGGTGCTTTTTGAGACATGCGCCTTTAAAGAAGAGCTCTTATAGAACAAAGGGGGGGGAGCTCAGAAGGAAGTGCACACTTTAAAAGCGCACATCTCAAAAAATACAGTATCTAGAAAGAAGTTCTTAACCCGAATATGTACATAATTTTAATATTAAGCTGAGCAATTTTGCAGTTTACAACTTTTTACTAGCTACCGTAGTTTTTGAGATATGCGCCTTTAAATTGGAACCTCCTTTCTAAGCCCCTCCTTGCTCTGTAGGTGGTCCTTTTTTCAAAGCCGCGTATCTCAAAACGTACGGAACCTAGGAAAAAGTGGTCGACTACAAAATTGCTCAGCATAAAATTTTTAACAATCCTCTACTAAAATTATGTGTGTCCGGATGTCCAGATATTCTCAAAAAACTCACTTTTGCAGCATACTCTCTGTTTGGGTCTCGAGAAGCTTGTGAAGGCGTTTGATCTCCTGTTCCCTTTGCTCCGCTTCATTTCTTAGTTCTCTGAAATTACAGTAATCTTTTTCTCCGAAACATGTCTGTTCACTTACTCTCTTGTCTTTACCCGTCCGGATCTGATCGACAACATTTCTTAAGCTCCTGAGATGACTCTGAAAATTTTGAAATTTCAAATTTGAAAAAAAATCTGGCGGCAAATTTAAAAATTCAAAAAAATGCAACAAAAAAATAGATACAAAGGTATAGAACAAGGGGTGGAAACCTTGGAAAATTGAAAAAAAATTAAAAATTAAAAATTAACAAATAATTTTTTTATTAGTTTTTAAAAAATCAAGATCTGGGGAATTATGAGGGAATCGGGAGAAATCGGGATCATGAAATGGAATGGGGATGACGTCATCATGCGAAGAAATTAGTTCTTCTTTTCTGGCTGGGGCGCCTTTGGCGCGTTCTTTCGCTTTTCTGCCTGTTTTTTTGCGTCTTCAATTACATCTTCCCATTCTTCTTCTGAAAAATAGTGATTTTCAGACTTTTGAATTTGTTTTCAGATGTCAAAATGCAAAACATCAAATTCCCCATCAAAAACTACCCTAGAAACCATTAAAAATCATGATTTTTGATGGTGGCCGAGTTTTTGAATTTTCTAGGCCATCGGTTGAAAAGTTAGGCCATGAGCTATTAAAGCAGTTTTCAAGGCTAGTTTTCAGCATGAAATTCAAATTTCTTATCAAAAACTACTCCAGAAAACATGGAAAATCAGAAAGCTCCTAGGTGGCCGAGTTTTTGAAAATTCTAGGCCGTCATTTGGAAAGTTAGGCCATGAGTTATTGAGGCAGTGTTCAAGACTAGTTTTTGACGGGAAATTCGAGCTCCCCATCGGAAACCACCCCGGCAACCATAAAAAACGGAGAAATTCCTAAGGGGCCGAGTTTTTGGGTTTTCTAGGCCACCACTCGGAAAGTTAGGTCATGAGTTATTAAAGTCAGTTTTCTAGGCTAGTTTTTGACGAGAAATTTGAATTTCTCATCAAAAACTTCCATGGAAACCATGAAAAACTGAAAATTTTGAAGGTGGCCGAGTTTTTGAATTTTCTAGGCCACCACTTGGAAAGTTAGGCCATGAGTCGTGTTTGATGGTTTTTAGGCTAGTTTTTGACGAGAAATTTGAATTTCCCATAAAAGACTACACAGAAAACCAAAAAATCAAAAAATCCATGGTAACCGAGTTTTTGGAAATTCTAGGCCATTATTTGGAAAGTTAGGCCATGAGCTGAAAAAAATAGTTTTCTGGACTAGTTCTCAGCGTAGAGTTCAAATTTTTGGTTTTTTTTCGCTTGAAAATCGATGAAATTTTTAAAAATGTCTAGAAATTTCTAGAAAAACCCTAGGATATTGCTATTTTCATGCACTGGGGCGCTTTGGTCGCGTTTTTTCGAGCTTTGACTCACCGAACAGGTTCAAAGTGTCTGCATCGTCATCATCATCAAACATATAGTCTTCACCATCCGAGCACGAAGAATCCAGGTCATACTGAGCAATTCTGGCTCTCATGGCCTCCTGAGCATTGTCGCCTTGTTTCTCTGAAATTTGGATTTTTGGGCTTTAAATGGATTTTTTTGACTTCAAAACTTGAAAAATTTCTAGGCCACCATTTGAAAAGCTAGGCCATTATCGATTTTTGGGGGTTTTTGGGGTAGTTTTCAGTGAGGAATTTGAATTTCGCAGTTTGTTTTAAACTAGGGATTTCATAAAATCTCTGAAAATGTGAATTCAAAGATGTTCAGTTTTTTTTTCAAAAAAATTTTTTAAATAAAATTTTGGAGCTACCGTAACCCAACGAAATTTGAAGAGAATTTAGGCATGTTTATACTCATTTTGAAGCTCTAAAACAGGCAAATTCAAAAATGTTATTTATTGCTCATTCGCCCCTTTTTGAGATAGGTTACTGTAGCTTTTCCGTGCAGATACCCAATTGAACGTATCTTTGCTCAAAATGGACTAAATACAATGATTTTTAGCTCATTTTGAAGGATTAAAACGTACAAATTGAATTTGTAAAAGACTACAATAATTCTGAAGAACTGACTTACCAGCCTCCTTTTTGAAGTGATCAATTGTCATTTGGTTCAGATTATTGGACAGAAAATCAGTTGCTTTCTGCAATTTCGCCATTTGCTCCTTCTTTGACATTTTTTTGGTTTCCGGTTTTTTGATTTCCGGTTTCTTGTCGGAGGTTGATTCCATGGTTCTAAAAAATCAGAAAATACAAAAAAAATGGATGAAAACTGAGCGAAAAGAGCGAAAATGAGAGAGCGACGTACAGTAGTACCCCAGGGTACAGTAATTGGGCTGAAAGCAAATTCATAAATTGTGTCTTTTTATAAGCCTAAAAAAGAGACTAATCATGACTAGGCTTGAACGAAATTCAGCCAAAATTTCAAAGAAAATCTGAAATTTTGGATCTCATTCCGAAAAAAAAAGAGTATATCTCAAAAACTACTGTAGCTTCAAAAAAATTGTCAACTACAAAATTGCTCAGCATATAATTTCCAATCAGTTTCCTATTGAAAATATTTTTTAGCTATTCCCCTTCTCCAGATACATCCTCTGTCGTCAAGTCCACAATAACGCGTGTGGACGCACCCACGCGCAATTGCACACTTTGCTTGCACAAGTTGTTTCTCGAGAAGGAAAGGAGCTAGAACAAAAGTTTTAAGAGAAAATTTGTAGGAAATTTTATGCTGAGCAATTTTGTAGTTAACAACTTTCCTGCAGCTTTACTTGTTTTTGAGATATAAGCAAAAGAAGGCTTATCTGTAATTTTACATACCCGAGCTTAGCAAGCTTAAAATAAGTTTGGCGAGTTTAAAATAAGTCTAGGAAGTCTCTCGATTTTTTATCATAAAACTCGATTTTTCTAGTAATCTTCCAAGTCTAAAAAGTACTCTAAAAAGCTCAAAAAATTTCCTTAAAAACCTAAAAAAGCCAAAAAACCTCAATCGTAATCGAACCTAGAAACATTTTTGATGTTTCAATTTTGAAACATAAACTTCATTGAATCGAAAACCTCAATTCACAAAGCGTTTTCACAAACCTAAAATATCCTGAAAATGTTCTTAAAATTTCGAAGTTTTTCAAGCTTATTCGACCTTAAATTACACTGTAATTAAGCCTAAAAATGTCCTAGAAGGCTATATAAATGAACTTAGGAACTCAAAATTGCCCTAAAAATTTGAACTTTTTCAAGCCCAAAACAGGCCTGGAATGTCTTAGAGCCTATTTTTAAAAATTAAGCTTTATTATAGCTAATTAAGCCTAATTATTTCTGGGACTTCTCAGGGATCTTGGCATCGCTCCTAGTGTCCTGAACATGTCCTTAAAACTCTAAAATTGGCATAAAAAGTTAGGGATTTTACGGCTTAAAATAGGTTTGGACTAGGCCTAAACTGAGTCGGGGATCTTTTTTAAACCTATCCTACAATGATTCTCACACCAATTAAGCTCCTTATCAATTGACAAAGGGTTCATGTTCTCTACTAATCAATTCTCTCTTCTCCTCAACAAAACAAGAAGAAGAGGAAGAAGACAAAACACACAATAATACGTATGGAAGAAGGACGACGGACGGCTATATGCTGCTGTCGAGAAAAAACACTCTCTCTCTCTCTTTTTCTCTAACTCTCTTCGTCCCGCACACTCTCTCGTCAGTGCCGAGCGTCTAAAAGGTCGAACGGACGAATGGTGCAAACGTGGCAGAGAAGGGAAGTTAGAGAGAGAGAGAGGGGGGGGGGTGAGAGACGCAGAGGAAATGTGTTTCGTTGGAGGGGTTATGTTGTCTAGCGGTGCGTTGGTGCCTGATGGGGTGGTGGCTGACTTGATGAAGAGAGTGTGGAATACGGAGAGAGTGCTAGACAGAAAGGAGAGCAGATAACGATTGGTGGGGAAGGCCGGGTGGAAAGACACCGGCGTATTTAGTTATTAGCAAAGAGAGAGAGAGAGAGTGGAGAGGATACCTGGACGGACAAGTATCTTTTGAAGGGGAAAAAGAGCAAAAAATGGACCATTTTTAACGATTTTGAGTCGCATTCTTGAGACTCGGGATTCTGAGAAATAGAGATTTTTTTAAAGTAACAAAAAAGCGCCGAACTTTGCTCTAGAATTCAGAAAAAATTAAGTTTCTAAGACGATTTCGAGCCGAGATACGACTATTTTAAGGTTGAGGGCTAGAGACGCAGTGTGTCTCGTTTCTCTGCGTCTCTCACCCCGAAATCTTTGAATGACCATAACCCGGCTCAGAATCGTCGTCGTAAGTTGATTTTTGAAGGATTTTGACGGAAATTTTGTATATTTTTTATCCAGATGATTTGTCAACAAAAACTACATCATCATGTGGAATTGTTGTTCTTTGAGTCTGGAATGAAATGTGTGAGATTTGGTATCATAAAAACAAACTTCACATTTCCTACAAAATAATCTAAAAATCAAGTTTATAGGACAATTTTGAGCCGAGTTACGGGCATTTGAAGTTATAGGGCTAGCGACGCAGTGTGTCTCGTTTCTCTGCGTCTCTCACCCTCAAAACTTCAAATGACCATAACTCGGCTCAAAATGGTCGTAGGTTATTAATCCCTTTTGGGGTCTCGACTAGAATTTTGTGTTCTTTTCAGAATATGTAGACTTTTTCAACAAAAATATTTTTTTTTTGATTTTCACGTTTTTTTTTGAAAATCAGATATTGAGGTTGAAAAACTTCGAACAATGCTGTAATCCGGAGAAAGAGGCTTTTGAGAAAAAAACTATTGGAAATTTGAGGTTTTTGGACATATGTAGGAGTATTAGCTTTCAGAAGAATTTTTCAAAAATTTGTAAAAAAAATTGAAACAGTAATTTTTCGAAAAACATTTTTTCCGAATTTCAGGACTTCTGAAAATACGGACCTAGAAAAAAAAATCAAAGTGTGGGAAACTGTAAATTTCGAATTTTTGAAAGGATTTTTAGACATTTTTAATGAAATTTATTTTTAAAAAACTTTTTTACAAAAAACTAAATTTTTCTGTTTCAAAATTTTCTATCAATCGTTTTGCATATTTTGAAGACACTATTGAAGCGAAAATTGTTAAAACTTTTAAAAACTTTTAATATCGAAAAATTTTTTTTTCAAAGAAACTAGATATAACAACATTTTTTGAAACAGTAATTTTTTTGATTTTCGGAAATTCGAAAAAGTGAAAAATGTTTAAAGGTGGTGTACGGTGAAATTTTTGTATTGCATCAAAATGTGCAGAAATGCATGTAGATTGACATAAAAATAAAGAAAAAGTTCAAAAAAAATTCTTTCATCGAGAAAAACGCATCGAAAAATACGCTGAAAGCCCTTAGGGACGAGGTTTTTTTCTAGGCCGCCCGGTGAGTAAAAGCGCGCGAATTCAAACTTTTAAAATTTTTTCGCTCGTTTTCACAGTTTTTTTCAAATTTTCCGATGTATCTGGAAAAAAAAATTGACAAAAACCTAGAAAACTCTTGAAAAAACCGAAAAAAAAGTGAAAACGAGCGAAAAAATTTTAAAAGTTTGAATTCGCGCGCTTTTACTCACCGGGCGGCCTAGAAAAAAACCTCGTCCCTAAGGGCTTTCAGCGTATTTTTGGAGGCGTTTTTCTTCGATGAAAGAAGTTTTTTGGAATTTTTTCTTTAGTTTTATGTCAATCTACATGCATTTCTGCACATTGTGATGCAATAAAAAATTCCACGGTACACCACGTTTAATTTTCAATTTAATTTTTTAAATTCCGACTCAAATTCCGACTCGTCAGTAAAAAATCGTCGAAATATTTTCTTTTAATAAAAATTTAAAACAGAAAATTTCAAAATTTTTTTCTCAGATTTTTCGAATTTTTAATTTAAAAAACCTTTTTTTTTTGAAACCCCTTTTTCTAACTTTCGAAAAAAACAATAATACCGAAATTAGCGAATTTTCAATTTATTGAAATTTTAAAAAATTCTATTGAAACAGTAATTTTTTGGAAATTTCATAAATTCAAAAAGAGAAAAGTTCTTCGAAATTTTGATTTTCTTTTTTGACATTTTTGGACCCAACATAAAATATTTTGAACATTATAATCCCAAAAAATTTATTTAGTACTTTTTCCTCTCTGAAAAAGTTTGCTAAGCAACTTTTCCTCTCTCTTTCACGCAAAAACCAAATTTCTAGCTCACTTTTGAAGCGAGTAATAGTCTTATTTGCTGCGAGGGCGCAGGCAGCGAGAGGTGATAAGCGACGCGCGCCGCTGACCACCTCCGTCTGACCGCGCCCTGGGAACAAATCGATCTCTATTACTCTTGTCCGAAATCAATGCACATTACGGCCGAGAAAACAACGGTGGGCGGAGCTTAGCTCCCACAGAGAGAACACTACTGTATTTTTCAAATTATTGCATGCGCCTTTAATACAGTACCTCAACATTTATCGAGTTTCTGCCTTTTTCTCTTATTTTTCGCTTGTTTCTGTCTGATTTTGTGTAATTCTTATAAATCTTTAATTATTTTACTTATAAAATAGAAAAAACAGCAAAAAGGGCCCAAAATAAAAAAAACGCCCGAGGTACGGTATTTAAAGGCGCATGCATCCATTTGTTGTTTTTGCTGTGCGACCGACGATGCGATTTTGAGTAAATTTTCGGCCGCAACGTGCATTGATTTCGGACGAGAGTAATAACTCGCTTCAAAATTGAGCTAGAGACTTGATTTTTGTTGGGAAATGAGCAGAATTCGTTGCTTCATATTTTCAAGGAGACTTGAGACGCAGACAGTTAGAGTGTCAGCGTCTCTAACCTTCAAAACGTTGAATGCTTATAACTTTACTCCTAGAAGGATTAGAAAAGTGATTTTTGTTGCAAATTGCATCCAATTTGATGGGTTTTCAGAATTTTATGTTTTCAAACGATATAGACGAGTATCTTCTGAGCTAGAAGGTCGTAAAGTCGGAGCTTCAGATAACCTGAAAAAAATTTGTCAATTTTTTGATGTTTTACATATTTTATTTCAAATTCTTACAATTTTATCCATTTTTCGTCTGAAAATATCGAAAACGACCTAAATTTTGGTTTTCGCCGAAATTTTCATTTTTCAGGTTTTCCCTGATTTTTGTCGGATAAACTTTTTTATTATTTTTATTGCTTCTTATTTCATTTTTCTCTTCAAAACCTAAAAATTACAGCTATTTTCAGCGAATTTCAGCCAAAAATCGAAATTCTTCGTTTCAGTTTCATTTCCACCGATTTTCGCATATTTTCCATGAGATTTTCAAAATATTAATGTATTTCAACAATTCTAGCACAATTTTTAATCCGAAAATCTCGAAAAAATCTGCAAAAAACCATCGAAAACAATGCGTCACACTTGTTTATGCCATGAATTCAGGTGTAGATTTACGGTAAACAAGGCGCGCTAGGCGGGATAGCGGAGTGTCGTACTGGCGAAAAAAACAAGTTGCTATTTGGCTGGAATTTCAGCGGATTTTCAGGATTTTTATCGATTAAACGGATAGGAAAATGGAACATCTGGAAAAATATTGTTTTTAAAAACTATCTTGAAAGTTTTTAGGCCGGAAAAATTGATAAATTTTGGTTTAAAAATAGAATATATATTTCTGGAATTTTGAGCTAAAAACCTCAACTTTGGGGCTAAAAATTGTTTTAAAAAAGCCCTAATTTTTAAAAATGACAGAAAGAAATCTTTGAAAGTTTGAGAAAATTTGATTTTTCGAAAAAAAAATTTTATCAAAAAAATTTTTTTTCAATTTTTCAAATTTCTTTCCTTTAAAACCATTAAGCCAAAGTTCTCAATTAGTGTGCCAAATGACCCAAAAAAACAAGAGAAAAAGAACTTCCGTTTATGCCATAAACAACCACGCATTTGATAAGGTTTCTCGTTTCTCTGCGTCTCTTCAAAATCTCTTATCTCTTTTTGTTTTTGAAGACTTGTAAACAAGGTAATTTTGGTGGCTACGAAAACTACGAGGACGTTTTTATCCGAATTTTTTTCCTTTTTTTGTCTTATTCAGTTTTTTTATTTTGTTCAAATTTCGTAGAATTTTTTTTCTATATTTCTGAAAAACTGAAAATCGGAAATTTCATTTTAAAAAATTTGCGAAAATTTGCAAAAATTACAAATTACTGTAATCAGGAATTTGAACATTTGAATGACCAATTTTCCGAAAATTTGAAATTTCAAAAAAAAAATCGGAAAGTTCCCAAATTCAGAATTTTCGGAAGTGTCGATTTTTCTAGAATTCCGTTTTCAGAATTTTTAGAAATTTCGAATTTTCTAGAATTTTGAATTTTCAAAAAAATCTGAAATTTGAATTTTCCAAAATTTTCTGAAAAATTGAATGTGGAAATCTAAAAACCGTAGAAATCTAGAATCAAAATTGAAAATTTCTGGAATTCTAAAATCTAAATTTTTGAATTTCGGAATTTCAGTGAATTTACATTTTCCAGAATTTCAAAATTTCAGAAAATCTGAATTTTTGTAAAATCTGAAAAATTTGAAAATCTAAAACTCCAGAATCTCAGTTTTTGAAAATTTCGAGTTTCCTACAATGTCGAATATCCAGGAAACCTGAAATTTTTTAAATATCTTCAAATTCAAAATTTTCAAAAATGTCGCTTATCTGAAAATCTTGAAATTCTGGAATTCCAAATTTTCCTTAATCTGAAACTCCATAATCCTCCCCTTTTCACTAATTTTCTTAAAATCTGAAAATCTGAAAAACAATTTTATATGTCCCAATTTCCCAAATTTGTTCTATTTTTGCCAGACTCATTCCCCGGTTACCCAATTTTCTAGAAATTTGTCCACCAATTCCAATTCAAAACTTCCAAATGTCTTCAGAAACAAGAATGGACACTCAGAAGACTCCAATGGACTTCAAGTTCATCGCTCGTCTAGGCGAAGGAGCCTACAGTCAGGTGAGTCGAATTTAAAGGCGTATAACTTGCTTCAAAATCTAAATTTTTGAAAAACTCATATTGGAAAATATAGGATTTGAAAAGAGCTTCCAAATGATATAAAACATGGCCACATTCCAAAAATAGTTTCAAAAATTGAAGAGACACTTCAAATCGATTCTTCGAAAACATCGAATTTTGGAACATAGTCTTGTTATATATCATTTTGAAGCTCTTTTCAAGTTCTATATTTTCCACTTTAAAATTCTTGAAAATAACAATTTTTAAGAAATTTAAAAGCCAATGCATAATCATTCCTTTTAATTAAGCCATCGGTTGGCAGCCGAAATTTCCAACAGCGTAGAAAATTCGAAATGGAAAATGTAGAACTTGAAAAGAGCTTCAAAATGATATGAAACAAGACCACATTCCAAAATCCGATATTTCAAAAAATTCAGATTTCAAGTGTCTTTTCAATTTTCATACCAACCATATTTTATATCATTTCGGAGCTCTTTTCAAATCCTACATTTTTCAATTTGCGTTTTCAAAAAATATCAAATTTGGAGCATTTTCTGAGCTCATCAACATTATTCGTAAACTTTTTGCAAGAACTATGAAATTTTTGTTTTCCTGTTTCAAAAACTTTTAATAACACATTCTTTTCTTGAGCGTAGTTCTGATCACCTCCGGTTTTTGAATCATTAAATCCCTTTAAATCATTATTTTCAAAAAAGTCAAAATGAGAAATATAGAACACGAAAAGAGCTTCAGAATGATATAAAACATGACCACACTCCAGATTTCCATACTTCTAGAAATTTCAATTTTAAATGTCTTACCAACTTTCAAACCTAGCCTCGTTTTATATCATTTTGTAGCTCTTTTCAAGTCCAATATTTTCCAATTTGAATTTTTTTTTAAATTCCAAATCTTAATCAAGTTATGCGCCTTTAAATGTAACTATTTCCAGGTGTTTCGATGCCGCGAAGTGGGCACCAATGCCACTTTTGCCATCAAGGTTCTTGAAAAAGAGCATTTGATGAAGCACCAGAAAATGGGAGCTATTATTCGGGAAAAGAAGATTCTGGAGTTTATGACTAAAGATCTCAATGGACACCCCTTTATAAGCAGTCTGTATTCCAATTTTGAGGATAAGGATCGCATTTGTAAGTTTAGATTTTTTTTTTCGATTTTAAAGATTTTTTTGGAATTTTGAAGTCTGAAAAATATCTTAAAATCCATAAATTAAGTATTTAGTTCACTTCCAAAAATCCAAAAAAAAATTCTGAAAATAGTTAGTTTGAAAATTCATGAAAATTCGAAAAATCCAAAAAATCCCGTAAAATCCGATTTGAAAGTTTTTTATTCGGACAATTACATGAGAATTTTTCAAGAAAAATTCCTACAGTAACCCCACCCCTTCTTTTTTTGTTGAAATTTCAGAAAATCTGAAAAATGCGACTTTTCAAAAAACGATTGACAAAAATCAGCATTTTCAGAAAGGATGGCCTAGAAAAACCAAAGCCTAGGCCACTAGTTACAGATGTCTAGGACACAGTATTAAGTGCTCGGCTCCGCGTCACTTCGAA